ATTGCCTTGCCTATGGGCAAAGCACTTGCCTAGCATGCATGAGTCCCTAGTTTCAAACTCTCCCTCTCCCCCTCCCCCACCCACACACAGGGCTTCTTATTTTAATATGTAAATACACAATGTCATGGTAGATAGGTTAAAAAATATTTAAAACATTTTTAGATTGATTTACTTTATTGCACACGTATGAGTGTTTTGTCTGCATTTATGTGTTTGCACTATGTGTGTACTTGGTGCCACGAAGGTCAGAAGAGGGTGTCCGATCACTTGGAACTGGAAGTACAGACAGTTCTGAGCTACCATATGAGTACTGGCAACCAAGCCTGGGCCCTCTGAAAGAGCAACATTTGCTCTTAGCCACTTAGCCATCTCTCTGGCCCATTAAAAATATTATATATTAATGTATGGTCAAGTTTCAGTGTTTCATTAAAAATAACCAAGTAAATTAGATTTTTCATGTAAGCATTTTTTTTCTCAAAAAAGTGTAAACTTCAGTTGTTAGCACTATTCAAACAAGCTGCTACTGTTTGTTTCTTATTTTTGTGGCAACCAATCTTTCCACTTGAACTCTTGCCTCAGCTTCACAACAAGGTGTTTTCCCAAACTCTAGGCACATCCACACTCAGCCAAAAAAACTCCAAACATATCTGCCTTTATCTCACTGTTATCACTACCTATGACAACACTCTGCATTGTTTGACCGTTAACTGCACATTCCCACACACTTATTTCTCTAAGCACAGCATCTGTAAAGGATTTGCTGTTCTTAGATACCATTTATTTTCTGAGCCTAAAGGTCCCTTATATTTTTCAATGCCAAGTTACTCCTATTATTAACAAGTTCTATTTGGTGTTGTACACTAGTATTTAAAGATGCTTTTTCCCCATGTAAGTGGCTTCAAAGATAGTATATTTGTCTTCTGAAAAAGAACAAACTCAATTCTCTAATGCAGTTACCTCGCCAGCTCAACATATCCTGAGGCTCCTCTGGCAAGGGGCTGTAAAAGATTGGTATTGATATTCTGTGGCATTCAATTGTCAGGCTTCCAACAGGAGGAAGAGCATTTAGCAAATCTGGCCATGTGGCAGCTAATTACACTATTACAAAGTAAATTTACAGCGGGTGACTTGTAGGCTATGCATTGACAACAAGCATCCAAGTTTTTCTTCCCTTGTTTTCCCATAAATCAAGAGACAAAAGTTGCATTGTTTGCATGATACATAAAGATGGCTTTCTTGAACACATTATAGAAATTCCACCTAGATTCTGTGATTTTTGCATACAGCTTCTATGTGATTGTTTATTTTAACGATTTTCTTATGACTCCTATATAATGTATTTCTTGTGTACTTTAATGAATTTTAGGTTATTGAGTCATTCAAGTAATTAGAATATAACTAAGGGAGTTGAAACACATTAATACAATAGTCAAAGACTCAACAATTTCCTTCAACAGATGCCCCCCTGCCCCCAACACATCAAAGTTTTAAACACGTACATGGTCTCCAAGTCTGATTTTTAAAAACAGTTTTGTTCTTTAGACCTTATCAAATGTCTAGGGAAACGTTTGCATTCAGACATGATCCATGTGTTATTGAAAATGAGGATCTAATGAGCAAAGAAACTTTCTGGTGTGTATTATGAACTGTTGTTTGTTGTCATGGCTGGACAATCCTGTCTCATTTATTGTTGGGCCACTTTGTCTACTGAGGAGGATCAGGCCATATGTGCCAACAATAAAATGTAAAAGTAGCCAAATATGCAGGATTATAGGCACATTCAATGCTTGGGAATATTTCAAGTAAACCAGTACCTGTGAACAAGTTTCATTGGCAAGTTCACTATCATTCTGCCTTATATTTTCTGACTTTTATGCTAAAATCTTGTAATATCATGAGCAAAATTGTATTGTAGCTAACTCTTTGAACAAAAGAACAAATGTTAGCAGGTTTATCTTCTTACTCATATATGTTGGAATAAGCATATTTCAACATAAAATGCACTAATATATCATATTATCTTTCAGAATTAAACAACGCTATTTTTATTTTCTGAGTCACATAAACAAGTGTGCCAGCACAGACTGTGTGTACAGGGGACAGTTTATTGAAAGTCATAATAAATTTGGTAAGAAAATTTTCATTATGGTATCTGTTATGAGAAGCAGATCTCCAGTGCAAGGTTAGGGATGTTCCTTTTGGAGTATACTTTCTTTTAAAGTTGTTGGCATTTTATTACAATATGAGCAGATAATTGCTTTTACTTAGTGTACGATATGGTTCCAGTAATCATTAACAGACCTAACAGATATTGGCAACTTCTGAACATTCAAAATGATAAATTAATAATAATAATTATGTCTCTTTGAAAGCTGCTTCAAGATTTGTATCCTATAGGTAATATGTTGTTATTTTTGTATCAAGACTTCCACACTGATTGAACTGTATCTTAGGACCTTTTCCTCCTTTTTACACTATTGATAAGTGTCCACAAGGAATTTCTCCCTGGATGTGGCAAGATCTCAATGCATCCTTTTCTCCCACCTTCCAGCCTGGCCACTGCTTCCTCCAGCTGTCCACTTACTCATGACCCCTGTTGCCTACATCATTTCCACTTAGAGCACTCTTGCTCATCATTTCCCATGGCATGGGGAATTTCCAAGTTTCAATCCTGATAGTTTCAGAATTCAGGTTCTTCATCGTAGTAAATCCTGCACATTTCCTCACTCATTCCAGTTTCTGTAGCACCATAGGAGGGAAAGGAAGTCGAAAGTCGATGGTTAGCTCCTTGCTCTCATCTCAGATCTCTTACTTTCAAGTTTATTCCTTTTGGCAATCAGCAGCTCTCTGCTCCCAAATGAATTTCAGAGTGAAGAAATGTACTCTCCTCTGGCATGAACCTTCTGGGAGTGCATGTGAAACTCGACAGACATAGAAGATGCCAAGCACATCTTAAATTTCTAGATACATATTTTGAATGCTCAGTGGGTCATATATTTAAAAACACAGCAACAGTATATAATTTTATATATTTATAAAAACATAATTTTATATTTATAAAATATAATTTTACTGAAAACCTAGCCTTCATTTAGAAGCAATTAAAAAATAGCAGAAATTAATTCCTTCAGATTGGAGCAGACTCAGGAAAGAATGGTGATAAGATTGATGGGGAAGGGGAGAAGGAGAAAGGATCCTGGAGGAAGCCTTACATGTCAGTCATAGTCACTGGAACGGTAAAAGGCTAGTGGTCAGGGAGGGGTGGTGGAAGAGGTAGCCTGTTCATTCCATCCATTTACCATCTATAGATGTGTATTGTCCAACAGACTGATTTATTAGTTTTGTTGCAATGAGTAAGGGAGTAAATGTGGTGGTATTGTGTTCCCCAAAATATTGTGCACCCTAATAAACTTATCTGGGGTCAGAGACACAACAGCCACTAGATACAAAGGCTAGAAAATGGTGGTACTCACACCTTTAATCCTAGCATTCCAGAGGAGAAATCCCTCTGGATCTCTCTGAGTTCAAGGCCACATTGGAAACAGCCAGGCATGGTGACACATGCCTTTAATCCCAAGAAGTGAGCCTTTAATCCCAGGGAGTGATGGCAGAAAGGAAAGATATATAAGGCGTGAAGATCAGGAACTAGAAGCATTTGGCTGGTTAAGCATTTAGCTGGTTAAGCTTTCAGACGTCTAGTAGCACAGTTCAGCTGAGAGCCATTTGGATATGAGGACACAGAGGCTTCCAGTCTGAGGAAACAAGATCAGCTGAGAAGTTGGCCAGGTGAGGTTAGCTGTGTCTTGCTCTGGTTCTCTGATCTTCCATTTCTCCCAATAGCTGGCTCAGGTTTGTTTTATTAATAAAGACTCTTTAAGGTTCATGTTACAAGTAAACATACTTTTGTGTTTTCCATGTAACATTGAATATTTTCTTTCATTATTTTAAGTAGTTAAATTTATTTTGACTGATACCTAAAATAAAGAATATGCATATTAAGGGGCACTATGGGCTGTTTCAGTACATGCACAGGCTGTGTAATATTTAAACACATTTCAACATTTCTACTTGCTCAGATATTTGTCTTTTCCTATGGTAGAAACTTTCAAAATACTTTCTCTAGCTTCCTCAGATATTCAGTACCTTAGACTATCTAGTCATTCTACTGTGAGGCACACCAGCATTATATCATCTATTCAATGATAATAAAATTTCCATACAGTCACCTGTATGCCCTATTCTCCTGAACTCTGGTAACCATCATGTTGCCTCCTCCTTTTAGGTAGCACACAGTTTCAAATGTAAGAGTGCTCTTTATAAAAAAGAAGTATCTTTGTGCCGTATAACGCACACGAGCCTGGAAATAGGGCAACGTTTGCTTTGTATTATTTCCCATCTGGACTTGAGACAGGGCATGACCTGAACTTTGTGGACCCCTATCCTCTATTGGAAAATAGAGCTGCATATCTAAATTATTGACTCCTGTCCATCAACCATTGCCCTTGCTCTATGGTGTCACAAAAAGAGTATGATCATTAATTGACACTAAGTTGACAAAAGTTTTGAATATTTTCAAATTCAAATACAATATAACTTAAAGGTAAAACAATCTTACATAATTCCACTGCAATTTTTACCTTAGTTTCTTCAACAAATCCAAGAAGTATATAGTGATGCCTCACCCCACCCCAACTACTAGGACTCTAAGCTTGGCCTAGAGCAGATAAAGTCCATTATTACCCTAAGTATTATTATATTCTTTCTGTGAAAGCAATAGTTGTTTTAAAAGCAGTAGAAACTGAGTTCCTCTACACCCATACACAAAAAGGCAAAAGTCAATCATAAAAATTAGTAAGTTGAACATGATAGCAAATGACTCATGAACCGTGGAGAAAACTTAGAAGTCTATGTCTTCCAGGTTACTGGTCCTGCCACTCTTTATTAGAAGTCCTCATGTTTTCATCTTGTATTTGCTATCTACAAGATTATGTTCTGTTTCTCTTGGGTTGATGTTAGACATGATAATAAAAATAACACTGACCTCCCATAGGCAAAAGACTTTGGGAGTCTTGCTGTCTTGTGTGGGATTTTCAAGTGTCTTTTGTAGTTGTTTTTCCACTACCCACTAGCCTGGGCCCTCTGCCAGCTCTGGGAGCAGCTTGCCCCCTGGAAGGCTGGGGTTGACTTCTTCAGGTCAGCCTGCAAGAAGCAGAGAGAATAGTGTGCTTGTCAATGCTGCTAGTTCACTGTGGCCAGGAAGGGGCCAAAAGCATAAGAAATTCTCATCCGTGCCCACTTAACTGCTCGGCAAGAGAAAAATCAAAGCATTCACAACAGCAAAGGGGTGCCTGGTGGTTTTCACTAGAGGAAAACAGGGTCAGTGGGTAGGGTTGCATATCTTTGTGAACCTCTCTGTCTTAGTGTCTCCCCTGGGCTCCAAGTTTTTGTACCTCAGGCCTATAGTTGCTCTTTCTTTGCTCAAAATATTTTCTAGGACTCCCATGCAAACACAACACTAATGGATATTAGATCTTTTCCATATTCTTCCCTGACAAAAGATCAAAGGAAGTGATTAAGCAAGTCTCTCCTGGATGTGGACCCAACCCCTTTTTAGTCTTAAACATTACTGGAAATTCAGAAGTTCCTTTTTGCTATTTCATGAAATGGAGAAGTAGAAGTCATAGAAGAGTTGCTCTGGGCATCATCATGTCAGTCTCCTGGAAATCGTAGTGTTTACAGCCATTGGAGGGGATCTCCACTCTATCACATCCTCAAGCCAGGTAGAGAGAGGGCTTCTGCACTTACAGCTGAGCTCTCAGCCAATGCTGGATGTGAGGGACTACATTTGCTTGTTTTAAAATTTTCATTTGTTTTTAAATTAGCAAACAAAGCAACGTATTTCATTATAGAAATTTCACACTTACTATATTTTTTGATTCCCATCCCCAGTTCCGCTCTCCTTATAGCCCCTACTTTCACATCTTATCTATTCTAATGCCCTCCCCAAACTCCTTCCTTAAATTCTCTTTCCCTCTTCTCATGCTGCAAGGACTATTTCAAGAGCTTTCAATCTTAATTCTCAGGGCACTGTGGGGTTTGCTATATTTATTCCCATTTACAAATAAAAGAATGGAGACAGACAGGGGAAGTGATTTGACTAAGCTCACCTATCAAATAAATTCAGGATCCAAAACAGCCGCCACTCTTAAGTACTGTATTCAGGTCTGATCTACAAGACCTCATTTTTCTTTTATCTAGAGTCCTTAACACTAGCAGTCGTTGACTGAGCATCTGGAGACTATGAAGAATCAACAAAGCGATTATATGATTTGATGCTACTCAGACTACTCAAACCAGAGTGACTAAATACCCCTGTTCATCTAAAACAACTCTAACTTATTACTCTCATCTCAAGCCCTATTTATTCTCAAAAATATCCTGGCTTGCATAATAAATGATATGGCTATCTTAAATTGAAACACAAAACACACTTGAGGAAACCCATAGTGGAGAGTTACTTTGACCATTGCACTTACTTCTAGAAATAAGACCTCTTTGTTCTTGGCCAAATTTGTATTTATGAATTCTGGTTTGATGTCAGGCACACTTGCCGTGTGGGAAATAAATGCAGTCTGTGTATTTAAAATTCTTACCATGTTTCTTGCGGGGAGGTGTATGTTTTGCTTGCATTTGTTCTTATATAGGAAAGCTTTCTCAATGGGTTTTTCTCATTGTATCTTATCACTTAGGAAGGAATGTGTAGTTGATTGAGGTGGAAGAAATTCCTCATGACAAATAGTGGTGAGTTGGATATTCATCATACTCAATGGGATGATTTGAATGAGAATGCCTCCCCGCCCCCATTGGATCATATAAGTTAATGCTCGATCTCCATTTAGTGGGACTGTTTGGGAAGGATTAGGAGATGTGACTTTCTTGGAGTAGGTGTGTCCTTGTTGGATAAGATGTGTCACTGGAGTTGGGCTTTCAAGTTTCAATAGCTTATGCAGTGCCCAGTCTCACTCTCTCTGCCTGCAACTTATGGATCATATGTAAGCTTTCTGCAACTATTCCAGCACCATACCTGCCTGCTGCAATGCTCCCTACCAGGACAGTCATGGACAAACCCTCTTCACTGTAAGCAAGCCCCCAATGAAATGCTTTCTTTTATATGTTTCCTTGGTCATGGTGTTTCATCCTAGCAATAGAACAGTAACTAAGACACTCAGTATATACAAAGGAACATGTCTTGAAAGCAGGCACCAAATTCACAAGGAAAAGGTAGAAGGGAGCTTGAAACTTCATGTAAAGTATTTGGGTTAATATGAAGAGCAACATGCTCTGAGAAAAATTTGAAGGAAACAAGAGGTACTAAAAGAGAAGGTTGGAAAAGTCATTGGCTGGTGGTATTTTTGATGGGTTAGGGGAGAGGATGTTGAAGAGACAGGAAAGTCAAAAGAATGGACATGAAGAATTTGGATGATGCTATTGCAGAGGAAATATAGTCTGAACAGAACTAGAGTAAAATTAAGCTTCATAATTTGATGGTAGATGATTATCATAAGTACCTCCATAGGGTGCTGAAGGGCAAAGGAGTTGAGGATTATTAATATACTTTTAAATAAGAACTTTAGATGTAAGTTAGCCCAGGATGGAGCAGTAGTATATCTGGAGTGATATGCTAATAGTATCATACTATATTTTCATTTTTATATTTTCTACTCTTAGTCAAAGTTGTAATTTGTAGTGTTAAAGAGATTTTGGAGAGTTTAGGAAATCACAAATCCTATTGCTTGTGTGAAGTAACTTCCATATTTTTTTTATTTATTTTAACTTCCACATTTTTATGCAGTGTTTGTAGATCAGTATTTTCATTGCCCCTACAGTATACCCATGCAAATAAAACATAATTGTCTTAGCTTTGGTATCTCAAATAGGAGAAAGAGAAAGACTAGATTGCCATTGTTTTATAAGGAAGTAGAATTCTGAGGTTGCAAAAGTTATGGAAGAGGGAACAAGGCACAGAAGGATGAGAAGCAAATGCAAAGTGATGTGGTATAGGGTGATTTGGAGATGGTTTCAAGGTGCTAGCTGATGGGCTATATGGAAACCATGGCCAGAACAATTCACTACAATGAATATATCTTCTGTGACATTCTAGTGATGTTTCTCATTGGTCTGTTTGTTCCAGGAATTGCCAATATATCTACATTTCTGGATCATATCATATCAACTATACATAAATTATATATCAATATTATATATATACATATATATATATAAATATATATATATATAAAGCAAATACCATAATTTTTTTATTTTTAAATTGAAAGCCTCAGTGTATCTTGAACCTTAAAATAGTTAAAGGCTTATAAAATGAGGTTACATATCATCTTTCTAACACTCAGAATTCTAGTCTTCAAAATCAAGCATCTAATATGACACTCTGCCATTGGCAATTCATAGCAAAGACCATGGCCATTGCATCTCAATAATTTCTTTGACATTTCACACAGATAAAAAACAGTAGACATGTTCATCCAAAAGTCAATCCAGACTTTTAAGCCATGCATACAAGTCAAGAGAATCTTCCCCAACAGGCTTTCCTAAAATTATCCGCACACTTTCAATTTCATTACAAATAATAATAGTAAGTTTGGTTACTGTTGTAATGACTAACAGTTATTCTGAAATGAATTCATTATTTTAAAGTGACTATTGCACTATCTACTGCACTAGCTGAGATTTTGAAAATTAAATAAAGCAAGGTTAAATAAATTTCTCAGGGACACTATAGTAGACATGGGGAGGATTTTAGTAGACATTTATTAATTAGTATCTTTCCTACAAAGGCACATGCTGATTAGCACATGAAGATTAATTTACTACATTGTCATAGCTGCAAACCAGTACCTCAATAATAATCTATAAAGCACCATGTTGATGTAACGATGGGAAAGAATAATTTTAGAGAATGGTAGTAATGAAACAGGAGAAAGTTATCAACAGGGGCTGGTTTAAATGAAAATTACTTGAGATAAATAAATAAAGGAGGTAATGTAAGACTGTACATGTAGCAGTATTGCTCCAACAGAGCTCTTTTGATAAAATATCTTAAACTATGAATCCTGAACCTCATCTTCAGACTTTTCTGTAAAAAATACAGAATGTTTAATTAGCATTTATGATTTGAAAGTGACAAATACTGATTCATTATTAAAACATTTGGGGTATGCAACAAGCTGAGTATCTGTAATAGATGCTGAAAAAAATTTTTGTCTGCAGTGATGCCATTTATAGATGTGTATATCAGAAATGGATGCATCTAGAAATGAGTGTAGCTAGAGTTTTCCTGCCTTGCCCACAGTCAGGACAAATCTCTGTCACACGCCAGTCCCACAGCCGCTCAGACCCAACCAAGTAAACACAGAGATTTATATTGCTTACAAACTGTATGGCCGTGGCAGGCTTCTTGCTAACTGTTCTTATAGCTTAAATTAATCCATTTCCATAAATCTATACCTTGCCACGTGGCTGGTGGCTTACTGGTGTCTTCACATGCTGCTGGACATGGTGGCAGCTGGCAGTGTCTCCCCGCCTCCGCCTTCTGCTTCCCAGAATTCTCCTTTCTCCTTGTCCCACCTACTTCCTGCCTGGCCACTGGCCAATCAGTGTTTTATTTATTGACCAATCAGAGCAATTTGACATACAGACCATCCCACAGCAAATGAGGAAAATTTAATCTTGATGTATTGAAAAAAGAAAACAGCTTCTCCCACTCAGAGAGTCCTGCCTCTAGGACCTAGGCTCTGGGGCACAACTCATGCCCAGGAATCCCCACCCATCATTGACTCAGTTGAACCCTGCAATCTACAAGACCCACACCCTACCCCAAATCCTCACACCCCCCCTGTGACACCAGTGGCTTTCTAAGACACAGAATTTGTCAGGTCTGATTGGACCAAGAGCCGCTCCCTGATACACAGAATCCACCAGCTGCAATTAGATCAAGAGCTACAATTAGTCCCAGAGTGGGCCCCTTAGACACAGACACAGCAAGCACAGATTGGACCAAGAGCAGTTCGCTGAGACACAGGCACCTCTTGTACCTATTGGAGGAAGAGATGGGTAGATGTCAGTGCAAAATTACATACAAGAACACAAAGAACAATATGGCACCACCAGAACCTAGTGGT